AAATCCCTCGCCCGCAGAGTCCTCCAAGCTGCCTGAACATCACCTAACATTATGCTCTTAAACTACATGCAGCACTGCATAAAAAAAGACATAAGCTTGCATGAAAAATGCAGCTTTGAAAACAAGCAGTTCTTGTGTTTCCTAAAATATTTATTTCCCCTGAGCACATCAGATCAGGGAAGACGAGGTGCGCCAGGTCTTCCGGAAGCAGAAAAGGAAAAAAGCCCCAGGCCCAGACTGTGTTACACCAGCCTGTCTGAAATCCTGTGCTGACCAGCTGACCCCCATCTTCACACAGATCTTCAACAGATCACTGGAGCTGTGCGAAGTCCCCTCATGCTTCAAACGCTCCACCATCATCCCTGTCCCAAAGAAACCCAAAATTACTGGACTTAATGACTACAGACCTGTGGTTCTAACGTCTGTGGCCATGAAATCATTTGAAAGACTGGTTTTGGCTTATCTGAAGGACATCACAGGACCCTTACTGAACCCCCTGCAGTTTGCTTACAGAGCAAACAGGTCTGTGGATGATGCAGTCAACATGGGACTGCACTACACCCTGCAACATCTAGACAGACCAGGGACTTATGTGAGGATCCTGTTTGTGGACTTCAGCTCAGCTTTTAACACTATCATCCCAAACCTAGTCCTGCCCAAACTAACTCAGCTCTCAGTGCCCTCCTCCATCTGTTAGTGGATCACCAGCTTCCTGACAGACAGGCAGTAGCTAGTAAAGCTGGGAAAATTGTCATCCAGCACCCGTACGATCAGCACAATGTAAACTCGCATTTGCAAGTTATAAAGTAACAATTCAGACTATTTTTCTCAGAATTGCAAGATATAAACTCGCAATTGCAAGTTGTAACGTCACAAATCTGACTTTTTTTCTCGAATTTGCAAGTTTATATCTCACAATTACAAGTTGCGAGTTATGTTTCGCAAGATGTAAACTTAGATTTCTGAGAAAAAAAGTCAGAATTTCACAATGTATACTCGCAATTGCAAGTTATAAAGTTGCAATTCTGACTTTTTTCTTAGAAATGCAAGTTGCAATTAATTACATTTGCAAGTAATTAATTGTGAGACATAAACGCCGATTTCAGAATTCAGAATTGTGGGATAAAATATCACGATTCCCTTTTTATGTTTTTATTGGGTGGCGGACACAAGCTTCCACAGCAGTCAGATACAGCCTAGTGGTGAAGGAGCAGGTGTGATGTGGCGCGGGTCAATGGTGGCTCGAGTGTCGGTTCTGATCGGGTCACTGCTGAAGACCACATGCATTAGAGCGGCTCAGAAATGATGATCATACAGGAGACTCTATCAAACATTTCAGAGCTGCAGATTCACATGTTACCATTCCACTGAAAAATAAAATTGTGTTGACACATGTGTTGACCTGTTGATTGTGCTGGTGTTTTGGGGCTCTGACCCGCTCATCCGTGATTTGATTTTCTCACACTTTGAATGAGGTTTTGTTGGTAGCTCTGGGATCGGAGGGTCGTGGCTTTTGAGGGCAATGAATGGGAAATTATTTCTATTCACCTGCAGCGCTTGAATGAGGAGAAAAGAGCCACAGAATCACTCCATCTGATGGGAAATATCCTACATCTCCATCGCTCACTCTTTCTATGTATAAACTAGCGCTCAAAAGTTTGGAATCAATAAGGTTTGTTAATGCTTTTGAAAGAAGCATATTAGAATGATTTCTGAAAGATCATGTGACACTGAAGACTGGAGTAATGATGCTGAAAATTCAGCTTTGATCACAGAAATCAATTACAGTTTAACAGATATTCACAGAGAAAACAGCTGTTTGAAATTCTAATAATATTTACTGTTTTACTGTATTGTTGATCAAATAAAAGCAGCTTTGGTGCGCAGAAGAGACTTTAAAAATCCAAATTATTACAATCTTTTGACCAGTAGTGTACATATGCGTACACACACAGTGCATTTTGACACTTAAAAATGAGTAACACGCACTCGTTTGAGTTTAGATGCATTCTATTGTCTTATAGTTGAGTTTGAGTTTCTTGCATTTAATTGCACTTTCTTATAATGTCAGATTATGAAATTACATATAAAGAGGCACTTAAATTGGTAAAAAAAAAAAAAAAATCTAATTTAAGTTCAGCTAATTGCATTTGATTGAACTTTGATTAATTTTCCTTTCTTGCATTTGTTTCTCACACATCACGTAGTTCGACACTGAAGGTAAAAGTCTTACATTAAATGTCCTTTCATCGTCCCACACAATGGGGTGTCAGGTTGGTGTGTTACAGGAACAATAGAGGCCAAGCCGGACGGGTTCGTACACTTTTACTCGCCGCGGCCACAATGAGCTGTCTTTATGTGTGTGTTCAGAGGCATATACTGTTCCCGGGACTGTGGAGTGGGAGCGAGTTCTTCTCCAGAGGAAACCTTTGAGACGAGCAGGTGGAGTCTGAGAGTCTGAAGAGGCTTTTCACAAGAACAGAGACTCAGTGAGAGCCTTTAGTCCACCCCACCCACCCCCCCCCCCCCCCACCCCTCTAATACTGATCAAACCTCTTACACCAAGCATTAACCCTGTAAAGCCTGCTATATGAAACAATAGTCAGAAAAATCTAATTTTTTATAAAATTAAACAGTTTATTAAACCTTTAGACAAAATATTTGTGTATCGGGCTTTTCTGACTCATAGTCTGATACAGTGAGAATATGGAGGAAAAAACAGCTCAGTTTGATTCAGAGACTCAAACTGATCAAAAATATTCAATTTACTGCAGATGCTGATATTTATAATGAAATTCTGCTGCTTGTAATGTAAATCAGTGAGATATTTATAATAGTACAGCAGATACTGACATAAAATGATCTAAATATCAGTCGTCGCTCTATATCTCCAATAATCTGTCTCAGTAAAATGAGATATAAATGATCCAAACATATAATGCAATGCAATCCAGTGCTGATTGAGAGATGAAGATGAACAAATAAATGCTCCTCAAAAGATGTGAGATGTTCTGGAGGCTTGGGAAGATCATTCCTCCACTGAGGAACCGTAAAAGTAAAGCTTCTGGAAACAAACGTTCCTCAAACGATCCTGATGGTCAGATTTGAGACTCTAAAAAATGATTCACAGAGAATCAAGTAAAGCCGAGCTGCTTCAGTCCAGTAAGTGTTCATCTGGAAATATGACTACAGTTATTCTGACGTTTACTTGACAAAAATCAGTCAAGATTTGGCAGCAGAAAGACACGTGAAGCTCGAGCTTAAGTTGGACGTTTGTACAATTACACTAAAAGAGCTTTGACTGGATAAAAAACTCTAAACTATGAACAGTGTTTGCAAGAATAGACTAGTTATGATTAGAGTTTAGTCTTATAAGTGTAGATTAGGGCTGGGCGATATGGCAAAAATTTAATCTCGATAAATTTTTTCCATATTGAACGATAACGATATATATTTCGATATAAGTTGTTAATGCTTCCAGCTTTAAAAGAGTATCCCAACAATGACTGAAGCCACAAAAATTAGAGGGTTCATTAAATTACACTTTAAAAGTATAGTTTATTTTAAAAAAATTTTAAAAAAGATTACACATTTGGCCTTAAAAATTAAAACAACTTACTAAAATAAATTTAAAAATAAAAGTTGTGACAAAAGATGGTAAATGAGAGTAAATGTCCAAAATGTAAACATAATACTATTGTAAACATCATTTGTAACACAATTACAGTTTTTTTCCCCCCAGAAAGACTAACTGTCAACAGTGTCTGTCTTTAAGAGGTACATTAAATGTGCAAAATGTAAACATAAAAATATACAACTTCTAGCAAGTGCACACAATTTGTAAAACTTTCACATTATTATTATTATTTTTTTTTTTGCCAGGCAGACTGGTCTGTCAACAGTGTCTGTCTTTAAGAGGTACATTAAATATGTAAAATGTAAACAAAAATATACAACTTCTAGCAAGTGCACACAATTTGTAAAACTTTCACATTATTATTATTATTATTTTTTTGCCGGGCAGACTGGTCTGTCAATAGTGGATGCAGTACAGGTTTCAGGTACGACACACTCACATATTCTTCACCAGAAAGGGCATCAGTGAAATCAGCAAGTGGGTTTAGAGCCTTGCACACAGACTCCAGAACGTCAATGTCCTGCCATGAGGGAGCCAAGTGCCTTGTTTTTTTATCAGCTGATAAAACTTTTGCAATGGCCTTCTCCTGCTCTAGCACTCGTGCTATCATGGCATGGCGTGACCCCCACCTGGTGGGTGATTCTGTGATCAACTTGTGCTTTGGCAGCTTGAGCTCCTCTTGAGTGACCGCTAGTTCTCGTTTCTTTTTCCATGAGAAGGAAAAAGCACTGACCACTTTTTTGCACACACCCATGGCTCTTTGGATTCTCTGGTCTCTCATACTCCCCTCTGATGATGAAGAAAACAATATAGGCACATGTTTAGAATCTTTAAAAGGCAAAGATGATTATAAAAATTACTTGTTTGTGATGATAAAAAGTATTTTGTGATGATAAATTACAATGTTATGAGATTTTCAATCAACGAGAAACTACATTTAGACCACACACACTAGGGCTGTCTTTTTATCCCACAAATCTGAGTTAAATGACATAATGGCTTAAGCATGCCATGACAACTTCAATGCCAACAGAAACGTAACTGAATCAAAATTGAACAAATTATGATAAATTATCACGTTATTATTGTGGAATTGATGCATTACTTACATTTTAAAACATTGACGGCATTTAACATGCTTAATATACATGCATATTTATCAAATAGCGTCAAGCAGGGCTAGACAATCATTTATTTATTTATTTATTTATCCCTGCCTTTACAGCACACAACCACACGCAAGTTGGTGTTTGTTAGGGCAGTGTGAATACGACCGCATTTTCTAAATTATGCAGTCAAATGTGATAGCCTTAAATGCTGTGAAATCAATTAGGATATTTTATAAATCCTCATATGCTGTTTTTAGCACTGAAAACTTTACCTTTTTTTAGATGCTTAACTTACCAATGGCTAGATGTAGCCGGTGACCAAAACACTGCAGACGGGTCCAGTTTTTAAGTGAGACAGCCTTGACGATGTTTGCGCCGTTGTCCGTTGTAATGCACACCTGGCGGTCCTCGCTAAGGCCCCAAGATGCGAGTGCATCCTCCAGACCCGCAGAAAGTATTTCCGCAGTATGGTCGTCCGGAAAATATGCAGTTTGCAAGCATCTTGATTGCAGACCCCACTCCTCGTCAATGTAATGAATGGTGAGGCTCATATATGGCTCGGATGTCCGGCTCGACCATAGGTCGGAGGTAGTGGCAAAAAATCTCACGTTCCTTAGATTATTTTCCAGCTTTTCGCGGCACTCTTCATATAGCTGAGGCAGTGCGGTTTTGGAAAAGTATTTTCTGCCAGGGAGTTCGTACCGGCAGTCAAGCACTTTAACTAATTTCCTAAACCCGTCTTGTTCCACTGTGCTTAGGGGCATCATTTCTTTCGCTAGAAAGTAAGAAACGGCCCTGGTTATGTCCTTGCTCCTTTTGGAACTCTTTTCATAGGGGGTAATAGCCACGAAGGACGACACGATCGATTTTTGCTTCGGTACAGCCCGCTGCTAGCCCTGCTTGTTGACGGAGTAGCATCGACCCGCATTTTCATGCTCTCGGTGTGGTCGTTTGGGTGATACTTCTTTAGGTGATGGAATAGGTTGGTTGTGTTGCCAGTCTTGGTTTTCACAAACTGACGACATATTTTACAGATCGTTTTAATCTGCGCCTCGTCACATTTCAGATAGCCAAACCACTTCCATATAACAGAATTCGTGCTACCTTTTTTGTCCACAATTTCATTATCTTTGGATAATAACTCGAGGTTAGTTTCACTTTCGTCGCCGCTTCCACTCATTTTTTTTATTTATTTTTTTGTCGTCGTCGTGTCGAGTTAGCTTCGCAAAGTGCGGTAGGAAATGGACTCTGTACTGTGACGTGCACGCTGATTGGCTGTTGTCGCATATTTCTGCTGTGTGGCTCTGAGAAAACACTCAGAAATCTTTCCCAATGGAGAGACCGTTCACAACCGAATTAGAGGCAAAACCCATAGCAAAAGATCTCAAACACCTCAAGCTGTCTGATTATCTGAAGTCGGTTCGGCTGCACGGAAAAGTCTTATAAAAGTTGGTTCCCTTTAAGAGCGAGACCTTAAGCCTGATTATGTAATGCTCCTGAAAACCTTCACCCGGCTGGAGTTAAGTTTGGTTGTTTTCCCTGCAGACAGCCTGCTGTGAGCAAACAACACAATCAGCAGCTTTCTGAAGCAATTCGATAGACTCAAACATGCAAACGCATAGCCTCTTTATCTACGTGATGGTAATGACATAAGTGAGCGTGATATATGATGCTGGCCTATTTATTTCATGATAAGTGGGCACATCTACAGATTCAGCCCTAGTGTAGATTATTATTCATGCCTGAAGAACTAAACTGTGTGACACAGTAAATCTGTGACTATGGCTGCGTCCCAATTCACTCGTCTGCCCTAGATAGTGTGCCAGATTAGGATCACGCCCCAAATTGTAGTATGCTACAGGTGGTGTACTAAAAAAATTAATCATGGCATAGTTTATTTTTAAGTATTAAGTATTTGCTTCTGTTTGATTTTATTTACATCAGTAAAATTTTATAATACTAGTTTACTTGTTAACAATACTGAACGTCTCAGTTACGTATGTAACCCCCATTCCCTGAAGGAGGGAACGGAGATGTCACGTCAAAATGTACCGACGAATTGGGATCTCGCCTGAGAGCCCTATCATCTTCGAGTGTAACTAAACGAGCCAATACATATTGGTGTGCGAGATTTGCATCTCTGTATAAATGTGGAAGCGGGTGCAACGCACATTCAGGTTTTCGCTGAGGAGCCGAGCCAGGAACCCAGCGCCCTGTGGTGGTACAGCAATTGTGGTGACGGGATGTGACGTGTCTGTTCCCTCCTTCAGGGAACGGGGGTTACATACGTAACCGAGACGTTCCTTTTCAGTCAGTCGGACGAATTGGGATCCCTAACAAAGCGCCACCATTACTGACCCTTCCAGCGCCCCTAGTAAGCCACCTGATCCCCTCGCGGCTACTGGGGCGGAAGATAGGACAGGGCTTACATGGAGAGAGTCTATTACTGTTGTTCCTCTTAACCCACACAGTGAGACTATTGGATAACACTGGGAAAGTGTGCCTTTTGTAGGAATGCTGCGGAATCCACATCCCGCCTGCAGGGAGGTATCATGTGGAGATTACACATATGGACTGGGCATAAAGGGCAGTACAACATATGGTACGTCTTTAAGGTGGCTCCGGCTCAGTTAGGAGGGAGACAACACCGGCAGGACGGCAGAGGGGACTCTAACAAGGGAAAGACACATGCTCGCCAAGAGGGGAGCCGTACTGTGGAAGAATACACACATGGGATCACCATGGGGATCACTACATATGAGCACCTAGCCTAGAACAGGGGTTAACTAACAGGCGTACTTACGAGTGTTAGGCCTAACGCCGGACGCTCCACCACGTGCGGCTCCCGAAGGTGATGGAGGAACTCAACAGGATTCACCTGTGGGGAACTGAACTGTGGAGCAGAATAAGCTCACATATGCGATCCGTGGAAGGAAATGCGCAGCAAGCTTGACACCGAGCAATCTCTCTGTGTTTACTGGCTACTCGGGGCGAGTACACGAGAAGACACTGGCTCTACACGAAGGCTATAAAACCTAGCAAATGTGTTTGGTGTCGCCCAGCCTGCAGCACTACATATATCTGTCAGCAAGGCGCCATGCGCCAACGCCCAAGAAGAAGCAACACTCCTCGTCGAGTGTGCTCTCAACCCAAGGGGGCACAGCACATCTTGGGTTTGAATATGCCAAGATGATGGCATCCACTATCTTGATGGAAGCCAGCGCAGTTAAGAGCACTGTCTTTATTGACAGAGTTCTCAGCTCTGCGGACTGCAATGGCTCAAAAGGAGTCCTCTGCAATGCCGTAAGCACCAGAGGGAGATCCCAAGAGGGTACAGGGTTAGGAACCCTCAGGAACCTGGTGATCAGGTCGTGCTTGCCTCGTAGCAGCGTTTTGAAGCGGCCCAGTGCAAAACGTACTGCAAGCAACTTGAGGCAATTGATATGCCAATGCAGGAGGGGACCCGTCCAAATACCCGATGCTGCATGCCCGTTGTACGTGGCACCCCAGTCTGTGGTGGAGGCATCCGTGAACACAACAGCGTGCCTGTACTAGGGTACTCCTGCCCATAAAAATGCAGGGTCCGACCATGGGCTGAAAGCTTGGCGACAGGCCAGAGTGATCGTTACTCGGTGCGTGCCACATTGCCATGCCCATCTTGGGACTCGGCCGTGAAGCCAGTGCTGAAGCGGCCTCATATGAAGCAGTCCGAGCAGCATAACCATGTCCCTGTGTTTGCACAACTGATCCCGTGACTGCGCCAGAATGAGCCAGTCGTCGAGATAGTTGAGAATGCGAACGCCGTGTTCTCTCATAGGAACAAAGGCTGCCTCCGCAACCTTCGTGAAGACGCGGGGCGACAGGGACAACCCGAAGGGGAGGACATTGTACTGATATGCCCGTCCCTCGAACGCAAAGCGGAGAAATGGCCTGTGCTGAGGGAGAATCGAGACTTGAAAGTACAGGTCAGGTCGATTGCTGCAAACCAATCTTGGGGACGGATGCATTCGAAAATGCGTTTCTGCGTCAACATTTTGAACGGTAGCTTGTGAAGGGCCCGGTTCAAAACTCGCAGGTCCAAGATTGGTCATAACCCACCGCCTTTCTTGGGTACAATGAAGTAAGGGCTGTAAAACCCTGACATCATATCAGCTGGAGGGACCGGCTCTATCACTTCCTTCACCAGCAGGACTGCGATTTCTGCCTGTAAGACAGGAGCATCGCTGGTCAGCATGGAGGTGAACTGGATGCCCCTGAACTTGGGGGGACGCCAGGCGAACTGTATCGCATAGCCGAGTCTGACGGTCTGAATGGGCAAGCGAGATGGATTGGGGAGTGCTTGCCAGGCTCCCAGAAACCGTACAAGCGGGACCAGAGGAACCACAGACGTACCCATGGTGGGGCAGCATGTTGGAGGACAGGGACCCGACTCGGGAGGCATAGAGTCCCGAAGTGGGGTCTGGGTGTGTGGTGTAACACCTACCTGGCTCCAGGGTTGTGCAGGGGGCGTGGGAGAAGGCATAACTTTCCTGAATCAGGCCCCTCTGCCCACTGCCGATAGAAGAGGGGGATGAGGCTAGCCAGGCATAGCGTGACGCAGCGTCAACTGCGCCCTCTTGGAACACAGAGATAGTGGAAACTGCTCTTTTTTTGATAGTTTGGTTACTGGAACAAAAACAAAAGGAAACAAAAGATTCTCCACCCAGCCCTCCTCCGGGGGAGGGAGTGGTGCAGTCACCATCTCCCGAAGAGCTGTCCCCTCCATCTCTGGGTTGCCTGTCTCAGGGCCGCTTGCACTTGCGCTTGCCACCAGGCGGGGGCCTGGACGGGCGGTACCGCACCCCTGTGGCCAGCTCCCTGCTGTGGCCTCGGTGGACGCTGCTGCTGAGGCTGAGCAGGGGCAGAGGAAGCCGTGGGGGGTGCCCTCGGTGACGAGCAGGCAGAGCAGCTTCAGCCGGTGGCGGGGTGAAAGCAGCAGCAGACCGCCAGGGCAGGATGTGCTTTATAGACTCCGCCTGCTTCTGGGTAGCCAAGAACTGTTGGGCAAAGCTCTCGACTGCATCGCCAAAGAGGCCAGTCTGGGAGATAGGGGAGTCGAGAAAACGATATCTGTCAGTCTCCCACATATCCACCAGGTTCAGCCAGAGATGGCGTTCCTGGACCACCAACATGTCCATCGTCTGACTGAGGGAGCGCGCAGGGATTTTCTTTGCTCGTAAGGCAAGGTCCGTCGCTGTGCGCAGCTCCTGCATCAGCCCTGGGTCAGAACTACCCTCGTGCAACTCCTTTAGTGCCTTGGCCTGGTATACTTGCAGAATGCCATAGCGTGCAGGGCGGAGGCAGCCTGTCCAGTGGCTCCGTAAGCCTTGGCCATAAGAACGGACGATAACTTACAGGCCTTGGATGGGAGACGTGGGTTACCCCTCCAGGTGAAAGCGCTCCTTGGACACAATTGCATCGCAACTGCGCGCTCCACTGGAGGGATCGCCATGTATCCCCTGGCCACCCCACCATTGAAGGTAGTGAAGGGAGGAGGAGGCACCAGATCGGTTTCGGGTAGAAAAAGGTGCCTTCCATGACCTAGTCACCTCCTCATGCACTTCCGGAAAGAATGGCACTGGGAAGGGGGGCTGAGAACCAGCCCGGGCCGCCCCGAGATACCAATCATCTAAACTCGATGGGCCGGGTCATGGTGGCTCTCTCCACTCGAACCCGCCCGCCTCGGCAGCCCGGGAAAGCATAGCTGTTAATTCTGGGTCAGGCTTGGACAACGCTACTCTCCCCGAAGGGGGCAACGCAGCCGTGTCCTCATCCCCAGACTCCAGCTCACCCTCCGATGCCGCAATCAACATCTGGTCATCTGGAAGAGCACCGAATGA